TAAAAGACCACATAACTTTATCCGATTAGGGCCCCTTCGTAAATATAAGAATCAAATAAATACCCATTAAAAGACCACAACAAATGTTAAAAGCTTGCTTTTCACACTCAAAACGGATTTTAGTTTGACCAGTAATGATTATTATGTTTGTTCACCATGCCTTCGTCGCTGCAAAAATATATTGTTACGTATATTCGGGATTTATTCTTTTAAACTTGTAAAAAGCAATGAAATCAAGTCTTCGTTGAAAATAATTTGGCATTATCTCCTGTGCTAAATACATTTTAAAAGGATGGTATCTATGTGCTTTTATACTCATAATTAATTCTACACGGAAAAAAATGTGACTAGAAAATTTTACTACAATGTTGTAGTAGTAGACTTGTAGAAAAACACTTAACAATTTGTAGAAAATTTTACTACAATTTATAGTTAAAAACTATTCATTATTGTAGCAATTGATTTGTCGAATAAAATGCTACAACAATAGGAAAGAATTCCACAATGTTTAGTATATTTTACTATTGTTTGTAGAAGTAGAAATTTATTACAATTATCGTAATTACTACTACTAACTTCTGAAAAAATTTGTACAAATATTAATAATTATCTCTACAAAAAATAGTAATTTTCTCTACAAAAAATAATAATAATTTACATCCCTTCTTATGAAAAATATTCAATTTTGTTCAAAAATATTCTATATTATTGTAGAAATTCTAAGTCATGTGAACAAAACAGAATTCTGCTATTGGCCAACGTTTTCTGACGTCGATCATAAATGGCCAGACAGCAGTAGCCGTTCGCCATGTTCACATAACAAAGCATGGTACATATACGAGTACATATAACACATTATTATATTATAAGCACCGATGCGTTTGAGAAAATTTTAATAATAAATTCTATTGGTGGTAAGTACATTTATTATTGTTTCTGAATAATTTACCTTTAGATAACTAATTTAAATAACCTTAGTAGATTATTTAAAAAAAAATAGTTGTGGCCAACGATCGAATGTTGTGCCCAATGATCGAATTTTGTGCCAAATTCAATGATGCTTTTTTGTCTAATTGTGACATACCTACTTTCTCATTTTTGTTAGTTATCTGATTTAGTCATTTAATATCCAAATCAGTGTAAAGGTGATAAATATCCCCGTTTTAAGGGTATGAACAGTTCAATTGTTATTAATTTTCATTTCATATTTTTCAGGTGCAGAAAAGCCAACTGAGACTGAGGGTGCTATTATTACTGTTATTTATTACATAATGTAATTAAGACTTTGTATCTTTTATATTAAAACAATAAATTGAATATTTTATTAAGGAACATTTTTTTCTAGGTTATAATTATAATAATTATGGAATACTACTACAAGTTTTATTAAAAATTACTACAATTTGTATGAATTTTTACTATTTATTGTGTAAAATTTTCGTATTTATTTTCATAAAACGCAATACATTTTTAATATAAATTCATACAATGAATAGCAAAAATTATAACAATTTGTAGAACAATTCTTATGATGCATTTGGATATTTTTACTAAATATTGTAGATAATAACTCTACAATACATTCTCCACAAATATTTGGAAATTTTTACTACAAATTGTCCCTGTCCCTATATGTACTATTTATTGTAGAGAAAAAATCTATAATTGTAGAAATTTGTTCTACAATTTTTTTTCCGTGTATGTATATTATTTTTACTAACCCCAATTCCTTCTACCATAATTCGGAGAGAAACATGAGGGTTTATCGTTACATAGTAAGACAAATGGCACCATCAATCATCTTTAAATCGCCCCGGAGCGCCACGGCATACAATAATAATAGCCGTCCCTTTCCCTGCACAAGCTCAGCTTTTGGGGTTAAAATTCACTCGTAAGGGGATGAATTAGGGAGGGTATTATTATTACAGAGCAAAACGTTTATAATTGCTTCTTCATTTCTAGCAGGTGGTTGATGGTTTTCATTCCTTACATTTTGGGAAAAGACCCAATTTGTTACCTTGCCTCTGCTTTTCTGAATGTCATTGCGAAGAATGGTTACAACCTGGAAATCGTTCTCGATCAACGACGAACAATTACTAGACCAATTTTGTTCAATTGTTAGAACCGCCCCACCCAACATTTCGATGTGTCGCCAATCGACATGTATAGCACAAGTAGAAGTTGGAAAGGCTTTTGCCAGTTCTCCCACTTTATACACATAAATTAACAGGTTTGCGGCGGATCTCACCGAAGTGGACGCGATACATTGGCGTACAAAATTATTTTATAGATGTTAATAACAATTTCGAGTAAATAGTTTAGTAAATTGTGAACAGCTGTTGAAATTGTGTAAAATTATGATTTGAATATTATTATATATGTTCAATAATTATTTATAGTCCATAAATACATGCGATTGTCCGGTTCCACGGGTAACAATATAAAATTACTTATTCTATGAAACGACACTGGTAGGTAAACATTACTACGAAATTCTCAAAGCCGTCCGACGTGGTTTGACGTTTACCCCCTCTCTACCTACCAAAAGCCTTTCCAACTTCTACTTGCGCTATAGGCAGTATTGGAGAACAATAACCCTAAATTAAGTCTTAGACAAAAATTATAATTACCGTTTATTTTTACATTTAGTGGCATAGATAAAAATTTATATAATATACGTGTGATAACGCTTTATTAACGTACTTCTGGCAAATGAGTCTATATCAAAATCAGACTTATTGCAAACAGAACTTTATACATTTAAATCCTTGTCCTTATGCGTATTTCTAACCTCATTTTAAAAACTAAATTATAGTTAATCTTTGTTGTTGTCGTCTATAATAGTACATAAATGGGAAGAGGTATAATAAATGGCCATTTCAGGCGATTTAGATAATATACTATTAGAAGATTTCGAACTGATGCGAATGTTGGCGAGCGCACCCAAAAGCTATAAAGTCACAACTATTTGCTGACTTTAAACATTCACAATTTAGGACTGGTACAGTTTTAAAACTTAAATGATCTGCGCATGCTTAGATGTTAAAATACGAGCGGCGCTAATAGTGGCTGGCCTCAAGTGAACTTGCAATATCTCTCTAATTAAACAAGTTGAATTTAATTGAAAGTCCATTCATTTCGCCCAAACTAGCGATAATAAATAACTCTCAACATTTTATACTAGTAAGAATTTTTATTAATTTAAACCACGGTTGAACTGAGTGAACGTGAAAGAATTACACTATTGATAATTATGGGGTTTGAAGACAAATAAATATCTGCAATAAGCTTATGATTTGTTCACTGAAACATTTCCTGATAGGATTTCCCCGATTTCTAAATCTACAGTATCCAGAAATTTGATCAAGTTCAATGAAACAGGAAGTATGAAAAACAATCCCAGATTTGGACGGAAGATGAGAGCCACTGATAAAGAAAATACGCTTAATGTGGTTCTAAGTGCACAGGAAGAACCAAAAAGTTTCCGAAGCTCGCGTTAGACAATAATATTATCGAGAGATATGTAAGAAGGATTCTGAAGGTCAATAAATTTCATTCCTATAAAGTGCAATTACACCAAGAATGAATGAAGATGACCCATACAAGCGAACATAATTCTGTAAGGAAATGATAATGGCATTAATGGAAATATTTTGATAAACAACATTGTTTTTTCCGACAACATTGTCTCGGTGGATTTGTAAATAAACAAAATTACCTATTGGACTGATCATAATTCTGGACCATTTTTCACGAGAGAAGTTCTGAACGGTGATCGTTATTTGCAACTTCTTCAAAGGCAGATAGTTCCAGAGTTAGTTGGTTTTAGCAAAATTATGCTCCATTATTAAGCGTCATTTCGAACACAATTTTTTTCGCAGGTATGTGTGGATCGAAGAGGACATATTCAGTGGCCGGCACAGTCACCAAATTTATACTCATTAATTTTTTTCTTAAAGGCCATTTCAAATCAGTAGTTTATAAGAACCTGTCATATTCGCTGGAAAAATTTGAAGACAAAAGAAGAATTGCTGTTCAAAAAATTAACACCTGAAGTTTATCAAAATGCCTTAAGATCATTTGTTGATAGACTGGGATATTGTCAAGAAGGCTTTTGTTTCGAACACTTTGAAAGATTTTTGTACTTCAAATGATGTAAAGTAATTATTATTTTTTTATTAAATAAATGTTTACTTTCTATTTTATTATGAACTAGGAGATCCTCACACATCTTTATGCTGTGCTCAAACCCTACATTGGTGGATTCAAATATCTATTCGAAAAAAATATAAAATGGGATGATTCGTTCAAAATTTCATCTAGTGACGTCATATCTTGGTAAATATGACAGATAATGAAAATCTCTAAGCTTCATTAAATAGTGCATAAAATATACAAAAAACTTTATTCGGGTTAATTTTCAATACAATCGATAATTGAGCCACAAATTGGGTGTTCCGAAAATTTTGCCCAACCCTGTATGAAAAACATTCACTGGCTTTAATTTTGACACATACATGAGATCGTAGTCACAGTAGCCTAGACTGTCAGTGAATTTTTAAATTAATTTTTTAACTCAAATTTCAAAACTGTGGAAATAAGTAAAAAAATAGTTTAGGCAAACACGAGCTAATTTTAAAACTGTAAAAAATAGATTAGATAAAAGTTATTTATTATTTACTCAGTCATGTGCACACTATCAAGTGATTGTTTAATCTAGTTTTTACGTTATTTTCTCCATTTTCGACAAAAGTAAAGAATATTTTAGTTCGTAATATATATTCAATCATCGACGGTCATTACTTTTGACCACGTGACCTCTACGCCCGAATAAGTTTGCTCACTTTTTTGTTTCTGAGCCAATGGACATTAGTTACATCAGATAATTAGTGGGTGGAATATAAAGGGATGAAACGAAAGGTGATACTATATTCCTTTATCTTCTTGAATTTTAATAGGCTAGATACGGACATAATAATAATTGTTTAAAAAAATATTACCTTGTGATGTGGGTATCAGCAGTTGTGCACCTTGAATTCCTTGTACTAATTGTCCAGACGCTAAGATAAATTGTGGCATTGTGGCGGGTCCCTGCTGCGAACCCATTATGGAATTAGGAGGTGCCATTGACGGTGGCTGGTGAGGTTGAGTATTCATAGGATTCGTTATTATACCAGGTGGAGTTTCTGCTATTGTACTCTGTTGAGTACTTCTCGGTGTTATTGCTGAAAAAAAAAAATATATTATAAGTTAGAAAATTAGGTTCTCACAAAACTATGAAGTTTATTACATATTTTAAATCGTTAAATTAAAATAAATTATTCGTATTTTATTGGAAAATCCGTTGTTAAATTTTTGAAAAAATTATAATATCATTAATTAAAAATGTAATTATATTTTTAGTCACATGACATGCTTACAAATTTCCCAATGCAAAATCTGTTCTTGGATTATACATAGTTATATAAATTGAAAAACATCTTATATAATAAATGTTCATTACCTGATGCGCTGACGCTTAAATTAAGTGGAGCATTAACTGAGGGATTCCCAGATAAATTGCCCATACTAGAAAGACCAGCAGCTAAAGATGCCACTTGAGGAAGGTTCTGTAGCGATGCAAGGTTTTGTAAATTTTGTAATGTCACTAATCCAGCCACTGAAAAAGAAATATAGTATTATGTTCAATTAAAAAGTGTAATACCTAGTTTTGTTTTTAAAAATTTGCAATATTTTGCGTCGTAGAGTTTGTTTCTTCAAATCTTTTAATTTTAAAATTTCTAATGGCGACGTATAAACAGGAAGTTCCTAAATACCAGGTCAATATTGAAAGAGGTAATTCCTTTACCTATTTTATGACTAAATATGTCATAAACATTGGCTCTAAATTGCATTTTTTAAATGTTACTAGACGAACCATTAATGCCATTCTCTGATTTAAGAACAATTTTACTGTATGTTAAAGATAATTATGATTTTAACTATAAAATAATAAAAATACAAAATATAAGGTTCTGGAGATGTTTTATTATTGAACATGGCGAAAGCGTTGTTATCACCGCTGTATATAGGTCGCCAGCCTCATCGACACGAGAATTTAACGAAATACTTCAATGATATTTTTCTTTATTAGGGACATAAATGTCAACATTTTAGCTGTTGACAAGCATAGTACTGAATATCTCAATGTTTTACACGAATTCGGCCACTTTTCTACTAACAATGAATCAACGCGACATACAACTTGCATTGATCATATATTTTTGAAGTCCAAACGTCCAATAAAAGACATAATAATACTATTATCTAATATCTAATAACTTATGGTACTTATATATTGAATTTATTTGAAGTATTCATATATCAGATAATATTCTTACTTGCACCGTTGAGATGAGAAGTTGGTGACATATTAGACGGCATTTTGGAATCTTTCGGACAAGCCTCTTCCATTCGACTTTGTAGCTGTTTGGACGATATCGAAAGATCGGTACCATTTTCACCACCCATCGCTAATGAACCGGGTTCTGGCGAACCAAGACTACTGCTTTCACAATCGCTTTCCTGAAACAAAAAAAATTGCGTTTATTTGTAGGAAAAGAAAACAAGTATTATATTAATTGTTGTTGATCTACAAACGAAAATTATTTTTTCTACACTCACATGTACAGGTATTGTCTATTTTCGGCAGAAAATACAGAATGGATATGTAGCCATATCAGTGGGATATAATTTCATGTCCGTTCTAAAGCCGTGAAATCCATTTTAATCATCTTACAGCCGCAGTCAAAAACAAAAGCTCTCTGGCTACCAGAGTGTTATCGCTTACTAGTCATTAAAGTTAATAACAGCTTCAATTATTTAGGCAGTTCACAAGGTTAACTCACTGATACCTTATGACAGTTGTCATGTAATTTATTATTTTTGTTGTAAATCTAATTGATGAAAACAAACAGGAATTTTTAAAATTTATTTCAAGACATGAAAACAATATCCTTCATAATTTTTTATTGTTTTCCTCCTTTTTTTTGTTAAACAAGGCATGGCTTTTTCCAACATTTAACATATTTTTCTGTTAAAGATAATTTATCTTTTTCACGATCAGTGAAATTAGAACTTGCTATTTTAGGTTGTTTTTCCATTATTGAAATCTAACAAAGCAAACTAAAAAATCAATTGTTCTAATACAGAAAATTTAGAATATTGCACAATCCAAAATATCCAAAACAACGCAAATGTGGAGTAATGTTATCTTTAGCAATGAATCAAAATTAGATGTATGCGTGAAAAAGGGTGATTCTGTGATTCGTAAAAAATCTGAAGTCTTTCATAAAGACTGTCTAAATCATACGGTAAAGTTTCCCAAGGGGTTATAATATGGGTGTTACTAACAGCAGCTAGTATACTCGACTAGTTATTACTTATTCACTATGTTCATTTTTATTATTATCATGTTTGCTATGTATTTTTGATTGTATATATATGTCAATGTAATAAAATTACACATTGATTAATACTTGCATTTTGATTATAAATTTAGTATTGTGCAAGTAACATTGGTCCTTCGATCCGGCTCGAAGGACCAGATGTTACTAACAGCAGCTAGTATACTCGACTAGTTATTACTTATTCACTATGTTCATTTTTATTATTATCATGTTTGCTATGTATTTTTGATTGTATATATATATATATGTCAATGTAATAAAATTACACATTGATTAATACTTGCATTTTGATTATAAATTTAGTATTGTGCAAGTAACAATGGGGGATATATGAGTAGTAAAGGGGTTGGCAAATATGAGTTCATTGATTGTATTGTAAATGCAAAAAAATACCAACATATTTTACAAAGAAACTTGATTCCAACAATAGATTTTTCATTTTGGTGCAAAGTTGTGTACACACGTCAAATCGAAAATGTCGATAGGCTACCGTTAAATTCTATTTTTTTAAATCTTCGCTACCTACGTAAGAGTTCCTTCCTGTGTACAGGGTAGCGCGAAGACTGCATTCTTGATAAAAACTTGTAGAGTTTCAATGATGAATTTTTGGATAAATTGCCTTGGAATGTTGAAATTAAGGTAATTAGAGAAAAATCGTATATTTGACACTGTCTTGCAATTGGTTTTTGAAAATCACTTTATTGGTGTGGACAGAGATAGAGTGATTGTATATAATAATTTTTAATGATTTATTTTAAGTGTTTCTATGCGGGTGCGAGTGAAACAGATTTGCGAGTGGAAGAGAGTTGGCGCTTCCAAATATTTACTTACAATTTTCCATAAAAAAGAAAACTATACTTTGCGCACGTAGCTGTGCTTGCAGGTGTCCACCTAACGTTGAACTGCATTCTCGCATTTGTCAGGGTTGGCTTTGATTTAAACTTACGAATATTATATGAAATTGAAACATTATTTTTATTCTTTGTTTTGTGTGATATTTTTAAATTAGGTAATGCAAGCTATAGATTTAATAATAAAATATACTGTTGTTCTTATGTTTACTACAAATTATTTAAACGGGGTGGATTATAAAGAGAATAACAAAAGTATCTGTTAAAAAATGCTTGTAATTTTTAAACAGAAAATGTTCTAAATTTTAATAAAATATGGAAAATATTCTTAATTATATTCAGAATTGTGTTGTTTAAGGAAGGAGATAAGAAAGCTTAAGAAACGGTAACAAAAAGAAATAAATTTTAAAGCAACCCTTCCGTTAAATAAAATCACCAACGTAAAAATCACAAGGCAAGTTCCAGACGTAGAAAATTCAGTTCATCCAGTTTTAGTTCCCTGGCAGAAGAACCATAGATATTATTTTTTGATAAACAGAACGATGCAGGTAGGTCAAAAATACAATAATTGTTTTTAATTATTTTAAATTAAGAAATTCGAGAAGCACGATGGTAAACTGGACATACTTTTTCTTTCGGATCACATTACATGTGATTCCAGATAGTGCATGTTTTATTTAGAACCCAGTGCGGATTAAATTGACTCAGTGCAAGTCTAGGATCCAATGCAGGTCCCAGCTCCAGTACGAACCTGTTAAATCACGAAGGCAAAAAAATACTGGTTTTTTGAATTGTTTGAATAGTTGACCATTGAGCACAATTTTATGTGGCGGATGATGGTAAACTGGACATTCTTTTATATTTCGAATATTATTACTTTACATGGGAATTCAGTGCGAGTTTTATATAAAACCCCAGTTCTGGATTAAATAGAGGATTAAAATAGACTCAATGCGAGTCTAGGACCATGTGTGGGCCTATTAAGGTACCATTTCGGTAGATGCGTCAGGAGACAGGAGACCACCGAGGCGACCCCAAGGACGACAGATGCATAAATGTTACGCTCCGTATATATTTCGGAAGCTTGGAGACAGGTGGCGAGACACTTGCAGGATAACCATTCGAGGGAACGATCAGCGTTGCCAGACCTACTGTTTTTACGTAGATCCACTGTTTTTGTCTCTAGCAAATTTTGTTCTTAATTTATTAAGTTTGCCTCATTCTTCAGCAAATGGTTAAAGAATATTTTCTCTAGTAAATTTTCTGCAGTAAAAGCAGCGTAATAAGCAGCCACTATTGTAGGTTTGTTTTTATTTAAACTGCAACAAAGAATTAATAGGGCAACATAAAAAGAACATGCATGTCAATCACAGCGTATTTGAATTATTTGATTCAGACTGATCTGAAAGAAATACCCATTATTTTTCATTAGTTTTTTTTTTGTTTTCTGATGTTAAGTATATATATTAAAAATTTTGTTATTTATTTTTCGTTTCTTGTATAATTATTTGTTTTTTTTATTTACTACACAGCAAATTATAATTATTTCCCCCTGTATTAAAATCTACTGTTCAGATCTACGGTTTTTTTTCACCCCTGTTCCAAAATCTGGCAACACTGCCTAGATCGAAAGAAATTTCCAACTTATAATCACCTCCAAATATGCCTGAGAACAGTGACCTCGAGTGCGACACGCAGCAAACGCTTTGCCCCGAGACAGATTCAGAAAAGTCGTCTTGACGACACTTCTCGTGTCGCGCCGTGCAAAATGTGTTTCATATAATTGTATGTATTTTAGACGTGAAGAGACACTTCTCAGTCGCGTCGGCGGTCGTCTGTCGCGCCTACCGAAATGGTACCTTTAAATTACTAATGATATAAAATAATTATCGTAGCCGTTTGTAGCCCGGACTTGAATGTCATCAGATGTACTCGTAGTATTTGCTCAATAATCCCCAGCGCACAGTTCCAGCAATAAAGGCATAAATCACGCAAATTGGAACTCTTTCCCCCTCAAATATTGTAAGACTTTAGTAGATTCGATGACAAAACGCATATTGACACAAAATTTTAACTTCTAATTAATTAATGTTCGATTTAAGATTAATGTACTTTCGAATATTTATTTGTCAACAATTTTTTTATATTTTTGTTATGTAGTATATAAAAAATAAAATAATAAATCCCTACCATCAGTCTTTATGTTAGGTAGAGTGTATGTGATTTGATTTTTTAATCGGGAAAACAAAAAAAACAGTTTAAAATTAATATATATATTTTAACATTTGTACATCGTCCGAATATACAGGGTGTCCTTTAAAATGTGTCCCAAAATTCTCAGGCAGATTCCTTAACCAAAAAATGGAAAAAAAGTTCCTATAGACCTATGTCCTAAAGTGCCCCCTAAGCGAGCAACAGCCTCTCGAAATCATTTTTTTTTTTTTGATTTTTTGAATTTTCTTAAAAATGGAAACAAATAAAAGAACCAAATTTTGGCTGTTAAATATGATCAATAATAGTGACCTTTTGACACCTTCAAAAAGAAATTATTTCGTCAGGGGTGTACTTGGGAATTTTTTGAAAATTTTGATTATTCATAACTTTTTTGTGTTTTTGGTAATGACTTATCCATATTTTTTTTTACATTCTACTTTGAAAACTACGTCAAAAAGGAATACTTGTTTGATCTCGATTGGAGCAGCCGTTTCCGAGAAAACATCATCCAAAGATATTCGTGCAGTTTAGGTTAATTTTCAATTTTGGCTGTTGTAGCCAAAAAGTTGGAAATCGAGGAACACGGCTTACATGTCCCTCTCCTTACTTTTGAAGGTCTATTCAGTGGCAAAAAATATTAGTTGATACAGGGTGATCAAAAATCGGATGTGATTTTGGATTTTTGATCACCCTGTATCAAATAATATGTATTTTATGTCACTGAATAGACCTTAAAAAGTTAGGATAGGGACTGTAAGCCGTTTTCCTCGATTTCCAACTGTTTGGCTACAACAGCCACCTGAATTTGAAAAAATGTGATTTCTGAGTAGCTGTAGATCCTTTACTATTCATATTAGATAACAAGTGTGATATATCATTGAAATCAGATTATCGAGCAGATTCTAAAAATATAAAAATATACAGGGTGTTCCATTTAAAAAACATAACTTTGATTTGGCACGGCCTTATGAAACACCCTGTCACATCGTAACTAATTTTAAAATGTGAATCTTAAAGCTGCCTACTTTTATTATAACAGATCTACAGAGCT